CTGGTCCCTGCTGACAAAGCAGGTAACAACAATTTCTTTGTTTGTAAGGCTCATTATATTATATATATTTTAGAGGAACTTGGATTTAATTCTCCAAGTGGTAATCCAACTGATAGTTCCCTTTCTAAGGAAGAAATTCTTCAAAATCATATGTCAGTTTTGAATATTTTTAATATTCCAAACAAACCAAAATAAATTTGAATTACCATATCTATATTGGATTCCGAAACTTCATAAAAATCCTTACAAAGATACATATCGGGTTCCAGTAAATGTTCAACCAAGCCTCTTTCTTTTCTCCTCACTAAGATCTTAACCGTAGTGAAGGAGAAACTTCAAGAGTACTCTACAACAATATATTCGAGAAGTGGTGTAAATCAAATGTGGATACTTAAAAATTCTAAGGAACTTTTGGAATATTTGAAATCACAAGATTTTACCAAAATCAACAGCTTAAAAACTTACGACTTTTCAACTTTATATACAACTATTCCCCACGATAAATTAAAGTCAGGTTTTTGATATCACTGATATCTGCTTTTTCAATAAAAATGGAACTCGTAAATTTACTTATCTTGTCATTGGTTATTTACAAAATTATTTTGTTAAAAACATTCGATTGTACACACAAGTACTCTTTTTAAAAAAAGAAAGAAAAAAATTGTGCGGGATTTGAACCCTGGAACTCTCAAATGTTAAGTGAGAGTCACACCCCTAGACTACGGAGGCACTTGATTGTATAGCAAATTAAATGCAAACATTAGGTCACATATAATGTTTATATTCACGTTCGATATTGTCAAAATTTTATACAATACATGGTGTCTAATGTAGCCTTCACTACACAGTTCAAATAGATGTGATAAAAATATAAAGTCCGCCGACAACCTGTATTATACGTAATAACTCTCCACATGCCCCTGTGCTAAAAATAGTGCCAAGCGACTTTTAATACAATAAATAATAATAATAAAAAAAAAAACAAAACAAAAAAAAAGGACGGGGCGGGACACTTTGAGAGGGATTAGAGAGGTCCTAGGGAGTTATGGTTAAAATTTCATTGCAAAGGCTCAAAAGCTTCTTATGATATCGCCCAGAAACGAAAGTGTTACAGACAGACGGAATGTGTAAATGTACGACCTTGAACTTTGACCTCAATATAAATAGGGGTCTTCCAAGTTGCTATGTAAAATTTAATTGCAAAAGCTCAAAGGATTCTCTAGATATCGCGCGGAAACGAGTGTTACAGACAGACAGAAATACAGACGGACGGAAAGCGGGGGACAAAAAAGTAAAGTACATTTTTTACATATCAACAAGGTACATAATATTCATAAAACAAGACCCAAGTACCTGTGAATTAAAAAAAATCAATTTACCAGTAAAATGTGCACATTCGCTGCTTTTATCCTTGACGGAAATGAAATAGAGCATCTTAAGTACAATATCCATTACATGGTATTACAGGTTTCACAATAAAAATCAATAAATAAAATTGTCATTTTCAAGTTTTTACAAAAAGGGGGTTTGTTGATGCGCTGAACAAAGTATTTCCTCCTGCTATAAAGCCTGTAGGCGGGATCTTTTCACCAGTCAGTCTGCACCCGAGCAAATCAGTGATCTATAAGAACAGAATACCGCTACTATAGTAAAAGAATTTAACGTGTTTGCTCTGCTCCTGGTCTGTATTGTTTAAATGGACTTTTGAGCTTGAATACTGTTCTTTCATTGTTGAAAAAACAATTTCCGTCAAATATCGTACACGCTTAATATAATACGTTTATAGTAAAATATCTACTTACCAAATATTTATTTTCATGATTTTTATTATGTACAAAAGTACGAAGATTACATGTCCAACTGAAAACTATAAAGCTTATTAATATAGACAATCATGTAGTTCTAAGAAATATGCTTGCTTTAGACGTTTAAAGATAAAAAAAAAACACCTTACATCTTTAGCATAATACTGTATCTAACTTATATATCAAACCAAACACATTCAAATTATGTAGAATAGGTTGGCAACAGGACAACTTTGTTATCAATATCTTTCCACCCAAAACCTTTCATGTCTTATTTAAACTGGAAAAAAGATCAAGGACAACCACCATGTGAGGGTGCTTTGAAATCGGCTCCGCAAAAAACCAACAAAATAAATCTGAAGCGTGCTTCATTCGAGTACAGGTGTCAGAAATAAAAGTTTTGACTACTATCGTCATGAAAGTGAGTAAAATTGTAAACATGTTTCAAGACTTTCATTCTTATAATGTTTTATAGACGTCTCTTTTTTGTGACTATGAGTTGTGTTCACCAATGGGAAGGAAAAATAACAAGTCAAAGTTAGCGGGTGTTAAACGTCTTAGAACTGACATTAGTGATACATCCTTAAGTGGTGAGTCAGCAGTCAATACAACGATGGCAAGCACATCTGACCATAATCATGATCTGCCAAACAAATTTCGACAACTTAGCAGGGTGTCCAGTCACTTCGTACACAAACCAACTCGTATACAAAAAGTCAACTCGTACACAAAAACCAGAAGTCAACTCGTACACAACATTTATATACAATCGTTGTGATTTAATTTTATACAAATAATGTTTGATAACACGAAGTGTTACATTTCTTTAAGTTTTTTAAGTTTTTTTCCCTAAATATTTAAATAATTCAACTTCCCTGATAGGATAGGAACATCAAAGACATCAAAGAAGTATTGTTAAACCAACACCCGCGCGGTGGTTTCTTGGATTTGCGACAAACGCTAATTACGAGATGCTCATAATTCGGTATCCTTTAATTATGAGACACTATATGTATCGAAAACGTCTCCAAGTTTCTTCATTCCTTATACTTCACCATGGTTCGAGAGAGTTGTCTTTCCTGCAGCTGCAAGAAAAATGTGTTATACAGTATACCATTAAATTCTTACCATGTATTTAGACCGAATTTACTATCTACACTATATATCTATTTAACATAATAAATTAGGATGCTATAAACTATTATATTCTACATCAACAAGCATTACTTGCATAACAGAAAACTTTTTAGAAATATAAAAACTACGTATATCAATTCTGTTGACAATTAGAAATCCATTTGAATTAAGTTTTTCAACTACATATTTAACAAATAAAATATTTAAATTTATAATATAAGAATTATTTAAGATAATTCCGTTTATTTAAGAATTAATTTAAGAATTAAGAATGAATTTGACAATCTTGATTTAGTTAACTCATGTGCCAAAATGTTGATACAATTAGAGAATATGTAATAGTTAAGCAATATGTCTTTGATGTTTATAGCCAATTAAGATTAAGATCTATAAATATATATATACCATTTTTGTTTACAGTATTATTTCAATATTAATGTTATATGTGTGTGTGTTATTATTTGCATTATATCTTTATTTAAGATTTACTTATGTGTTGAATCATGTTAGAGATGAATTCTATTTTGTTCAATGAAGGGTATAAATACTAAATTATCAGTAAAAATAATTGTGTGTATATCAAATAGGTGTGTACACAAGTCAATATGAGTACAAAATACTTAATTAGTTTTAAAAAAAAGATAATTTTGTTTGATGTAGTGGGTACACTAGTCACTATGATTAGATTTAATCTAATAGATTAACATCAACAATTCAATTTTTCTGTCATGTCAGTGTTTAAATAAAGTTTTACAGCATTTATTCTTAATACATTTAATATATCAAATTTTCTTTAATATAATTTTTCCGTCATGTCAGTGTTTAAATAACCTTTTAAAGCATTTATTCTTAATACATTTAATATAACATTAATGAATTAAGTAAATATCCTCTTCAACTGGTCTGAAGTAATTACAAAATTCTGAAAAATGATAAGATGACAACATTGCTACTGTTTTTTGACTCAGGAATATTGACATATAGACACATCTATATTGAGAAAGCGTTCAACTCCATGAAATAAAATGTTATTATATAATATAGTCAAATTCAAATAATGTAAAAGGTTTATCCTGGTATAACACCAGAATTCTAAACAATACAAGTTGAATGTATTTAACAAATATTGTAAACATTGTATACAATCATTTAACAATAATATTAAAGAATTAGCTCAATAGTTTTATATGGATGTGAAATGTGGTTTTCATACAGTAGTGTGGCAAAAGTAAAGATAATTTAATTTTTTTTTCTTATTATCTCATTGAAAACAACATTTTGTAAAGTTAATATATAGCTCTTAGTTCAAAAACATTATTAACTACATCAATTCGTTGGATTATCAAGAAAATTGTGATCATATATTTATAACTGAACAAGGAAAATATAGTATACAAGTAAGGAATAATAGAACAACTTTTAAGACTGAGATATGATAAAGTGAAGTTAAATGTTAATTGAAGAATTATTTTAGCCCTGTACTGTGTTATGCATCTGAAATTTGGGAATGGCACAAAGCTAAAGATATAGAAAAAGTACACCTTTCATTTTGTAAAAGAATACTTAAGGTTAGACAGAATACATATAACAGTAAGGTATATCGTGAATTAGGTAAATTCCTATTGAATTGGTCAGGAAAAAGAAAATCCTTAAATACTGGTTAAAATTAAGAAATAATGACAATTACCAGAATAAGACTATCAGCACATAACTTAATGATTGAACAAGGAAGATATAACAAATTTTTGAGAAAAAATAGAACATGTAGTCTTTGTCAATTAGGTAACATAGAAGATGAATTTTGTGTTAACATGTTAAGACAAAAATACATTAAAATCTACTACCCCCGAAGACCAAGCGTCTTCAAATTGGTAGTTACTTAGTACACAGAATATAAAAGAATTATGCAATTTAGGAAAATGTTTGCAATCAGCGAGTGCATCAAGAACAGTCTCTTTAACAAATTTATAGATCATCAAAAATATTATATGTTTTGTTCATTTCAATTGTATGTTTATTTTATTATTACATGTGTTAATGTGTGATTGTAAATATTGTCCATGAGATGTATGTCTCTTGACTTCAATAAACTGAAACTGAATCTGATTGTAGGTAACCGCTAGACAACATGCTTTATGTTGTGATTTGTGTGGCAGATGGCAGCATCGCACTTGAGGCACTGGTAAGTTTCCGTTACAATGATTATATTCAAGTTATCTGAAATTTGAAAATAAATTAAAATATATCAGGTCACCAAAATATAATGATTAAATTCAAGTAATCTGAAATTTAAAAATAAATTTAAATGTATCAAGTCAAATATAATGATTATATTCAAGTCATAAAGTTAAAAATGAATGTTTTATGTAACATTACACAAAATTTTTGTCAAAGTACTATACTATTTATGAAATACTTACAGGTGTGTCACAGGAGGTGTGCTGGGAGACGATGAGAGGGAGAGGACTTGACCGTTGGATTTGCCAGAACTGTTCTCAGGATCTGCCTGTTCACGAGAGCACCAGACTGAGTTTATCCACCAACAGGACTGCACAGTAAGTTTACATTTCCAATGTACAATATTTAATGTACAAATGATATTAAAATGGTTATACATATATAGTACATACTGATTTATGTGTATTTATCTGTTGATGATCATTATTGTTAGCTATGTGTATATATATTTGTTAACTTTGTATATATATTTGTATACACATATACATGTATATTCACTATTAACTTTGAATTTTAGAATCTCCATCGACGAGACCAGACCAGTACCAGAGCCAGAACCCATGGACATTGAGCCAGTTCCAGAGCCAGTTCCCGAGCCAGACTCCGAGCCAGAGCCAGTTCCTGAGCCTGATTCCACATTCCATGTTGATGAAGACTTCGACATCCCTGACCAACTGCATGAGAGGTTAATATTTTCTTATGAAGTATATTTATTGTAAAAATTCATTCTTTTTAATATAAATTCTACATTTAAAGTAAAAAGTTTCACAGCTATAATTAATAATTATTTTTCTGAAGAAGTATAATTATTTAAAAAATTTATATGTTAATAATTTCTACAGATAAAATAAAAAGATGCATATCTGATGCATATCTGATTTCAAGTACATTTATATTTCTTATACTTCACAGCTCTCTGGTTGATGATGGAGTTGATCAGATACTGCTAGGCACCACCCCAGCCCCAGTAACCTACCATATTGAGCAAGAGACGAGCCAGAGGGGAAAGAAGCTGCTCATCACCAGCGACGGTTTCTCATTTACTGTTAGGGTATGGTTTTCATGGCAGTTATTATATATTTTATTATTATTAAATGCATTCTAACACATGAATAAAAGTTAATTCTGGACAATTTATTATTATTTAATGCATTCTAAGACAAAAGTTAAGTCTTTGAAGTCATGGTTAAATATTGTAAGTACATGCATAGATGTATATCTTATATTATAGTCTGTCCCACGACCGGAACGTCACTACTTTTTGCAAGATATCTAAAAATATATAAATACCTTGGCTTTCAACCTAGGTTCGATCGGTAGATTGATTTTTTTCCAAACTTCCTGCATTTATACGAACCCTCGAGGTCAACCAGTGTATTAACACGGCGGCAAATTCAAAGTCTACGGAGATTTAACATGGTAAACTCGTCCATTAGCGTCTAGATTACGGGGCGGGGAACCAGTTTATGAAGGGAGTAGTCGTTCTTTCCAAAGTAAAATTCCAAAAAATCTGAGAAAATCAAAGGACGTAATTTAAAGTGTTCTTATTAATAATGTGAGTGTTTATTTGAATTAAAATATATTTAACACTGTATAACGAGTTTTGTCATAAACGCCGAGAAAATAGTCCGCGGCCGAATATAATGCAGTACAAGTTGTGGATACAGATGTTGAAATGGCCATGATGATGCAAGAATGTGTTTTTAAAAACGTAAGTTGTTTATTTTTTGTTGTTGTTGTTTTACTACCTAATGTACACACAAGAAAGAAGTGTTTCCAAATTGTAAGAATATGCCAAAACGTGTGGTACTTATGTACATGTATAATCAGTATATGTATATTTGGCATTTTAACCAGTGCCCCATATACAGAAGCATGTGTTTAAAAACGTAAAAAGGTACTTTTATGGTTATAATGACACAATCAGCTGATTAAACAATTAGGAAAAAAGCATTAAATAACACCAAGATTACATAAAGAAAATAACAGCTGGTTAAAAACATTATTTTCAATATATGAAAGTCTATACTTTCTTTTCAACATTTCATGCTTTTGACAGTGAATCACAATCTACATGATGTAAAATGCATTTTCCTTTTACATTTATTTGTAGTGTCAACACCCTGGGGAATCAATATAGTTTTCTATATCATGTATATATAACACATAATTTTTGCATTATTATTATTTTTTTTTTTTTAATTAATTACTGAAAAATGTGTATTTTTTACAAGTTCTAACATCTAAAATATACCTTTAGCCCAAAGTTTTGTCAATTTTATGGAACCGAGTTCTAAGGGTCATTTATGTACATGTATTGATGTATAGAATAACTACCTAGGTAGATGAATATAAGAGTGTTTTAGCAATCATGTCCTGGCTTTCCAGTTTAAATAAAAACATAAGCAAAAGAGGAAAAAGGAAAAAAATAAAGAACAAGTCATGTCTATATAATTTCATCAGTATAAACGTAAAGATAAAACTGAATCATTTATTCTGAATACAGACATCCCCCCCCCCCCCCCCCGAAAAAAAATTTGACATCAGAGGCAATTTTCCAATTAATGCCATGTGCCACATTCAGTGTTCCAAATTGCTGTGTTGTGTTTCTCAGGCAGCAGCTTTATTTTGTCTCAAAGTTCCCATACTGCTCAAATGTGGACTTAATTTGAAAAATCTGTTTCCTAGTATACTGTAGGGTCTCATCTGAGTATTTCTTTTTCAAAACTCTATTCACTGGTATATGCAATTTTTTGTTTGCAATAGTTTAGTGCAACAATATTCATATAGACAGATCTTTTAACACCCATATGAAGGAATAGTTTTTCTATTGTAATAAAAAATTTATGGTAATTGTATCCATAGCATAATATATTTTCTGCCGGGAAACCTACTATGAAAGAGAGTTATGTAAATATTTTTTTATTCACCAAAAATTTTAACTTCTAAATTCAGAACATTTTTGCAGGGCTAGAAATAATTATTTTTAGCTCACCTGAGCCGAAGGCTCAAGTGAGCTTTTCTGATCGAAATTTGTCCGTTGTCTGTCGGCGTTGTTGTAAACTTTTCACATTTTCATCTTCTTCTCCAAAACTGCTGGGCCAATTTCAATCAAACTTGGCAGAAAGTATCCTTGGGTAAAGGGGATTCAAGTTTGTTCAAATGAAGGGCCACTCCCTCCTCCAAGGGGAGATAATTAAGAAATAGCAAAAAATTAATGGCATTATTGAAAAATCTTCTCCTCAAGAACCAATGTGCCAGAAAAGATGAAACTCATGTGGAATTATTGTCAGGTTGTGTAGATTCAAGTTTGTTCAAATCATGACCCCTGGGTAAGAGAGGGGCCACAATATGTACTACAAGGGGGGGGGGGGGAGGGGAGAAATCAGGTGAAAAACATCAAGGCCAGAGTTACTCAGGTGAGCGTTGTGGCCCATGGGCCTCTTGTTTTCAGTTTTATCTTCCTATTGCAGTCCTAACTATTTACAAGAGGCCCAAGGGCCACATCGCTCACCTGAGCACTGTGGCTAGGAAAAAAGGAAAAATCAGTTTAGTATTGAAAAGCTTAAATGCATAAGTGGCCTATTCCTAAAAAGGGAGTGGGGGGGGGGGGGGTTCATGATTTGAACAAACTTGAATCTACACTATCTGAGGATTCTTCCACATAAATATGACAAACCGTGGCTTTGCTGTTCTTGAGATTTTTAAAGATTTTTCCTATATATTCCTATGTAAAACTTTGATCGTCCAATGTGGCCCCACCCAACCCCCAGGGGTCATGATTTGTACAAACTTGAATCTACACCACCTGAGGATGCTTCCATGTAAATATGACCAATCATAGCTTTGCTGTTCTTGAGAAGAAGATTTTTGAAGATTTTTCCTATGTACACCTATGTTAAACATTGATCGTCCATTTTGGCCCCACCCTACCCCTGGGGGTCATGATTTGAACAAACTTGAATCTACACCACCTGAGGATGCTTCCATATAAATATGACCAATCATAGCTTTGCTGTTCTTGAGAAGAAGATTTTTGAAGATTTTTCCTATATATTCCTATGTAAAACTTTGATCATCCAATGTGGCCCCACCCTACCCCCGGGGGTCATGATTTGTACAAACTTGAATCTACACCACCTGAGGATGCTTCCAAATGAATATGACCAATCATAGCTTTGCTGTTCTTGAGAAGAAGATTTTTGAAGATTTTTCCTATATATTCCTATGTAAAACTTTGATCGTCCATTGTGGCCCCACCCTATCCCCGGGGGTCATGATTCGAACAAACTTGAATCTACACTACCTGACAATAGTTCCACATGAGTTTCATCTTTCCTGGCCCACTGGTTCTTGAGAAGAAGATTTTTCAATAATGCCATTAATTTTTTGCTATTTCTTAATTATCTCCCCTTGGAGGAGGGCGTGGCCCTTCATTTGAATAAACTTGAAACCCCTTCACCCAAGGATACTTTGTGCCAAGTTTGATTGAAATTGGCCCAGTAGTTCTGGAGAAGAAGATGAAAATGTGAAAAGTTTACGACAACAACGACGCCGACAGACAACGGACAAATTTTGATCAGAAAAGCTCACTTGAGCCTTCGGCTCAGGTGAGCTAAAAAGACAAATCATTGATCAAAGAAATGTAATAATAACCAAAGCAAAAATATTTGATGATGCCTTTATTAATTACTAAATAACATTTTTGAAGGTATAATTAAATGGGGTGCAAAGTTATTATGACAAGACAGTGTGACTTTAAGACATGCATGCATGTAGAAAACTATCTACTCAATTTTTCAGAATAATGTGATTGAAATTCATCTGATGGTGGACTAAACATTCAGGTTTCAGGACATTCTTCTAGACTATAGCTAGTAAGTATTTATTTAAATGAAAAAGGTTTTACTCTTCCCATGTATTCTTCAGGTTGGAACCTGAAATTGAAAATTGACTATAAACATGCATTTTTTAATATGTATCAATTCATGTTAACATATAATGCAAGTTCAAGTATAATCATTTGAATTTTCATTATTCCTTTAAATTTCACTTTGCACAGAGTTAAAAGTATTTTTCATGCACCAGAATCTTTATGATGGATTAAAATGTGTTTCATCTTTTTTTTCAGGCTCAAAGTATATTGGCTGAATGAAGGATTACCTGGTAGTCTGCCAATGGGTTGATCATTCGATGAGCCAGACACCAACCATTTACCACAGAAGTTTTAGTGGAGACAAACATAAACACTCTTTCTCAATCTTCATTCATGACTTGTTTCTCACTTTGGATTCTGAGTCATTACTTCTTTTTTCAAAAGCATGGACACCAGCAGCATTGGGCACTCAATTTTCATAATCATTTATTCTTCTAAATTTGATCTGATATCTTTAAATAAAGGAAAGACAATTCATTAATCATTTGCAATATTTCCTGTAATCTCACTAAATGTGTTTAAAGTTTGAAGCAATTCTATTTGATAATTTTAAAAAAACATATACCTGTATCTAGCTGTTAAACAAGCAGTAATAAAATTTTGAAAACAATTATCTGAGTATGATTAATTACTTTGCCCATTTCAGACAGGTAGCTTACAAAAACTGATTGACATCTACTGTGGAATCATCATTGTTTGTGGGGGACCAACATTCTTGGATTTTATCACATGGATCAGCCATACCCATAAATTTATATTTCCACAAATGCTTATTTTAACATTTTAATCAATCCATTAATTCCTTTGATTGTATTTTGTTTAACCTTATTTATGTCCTGTCCACAAAACAGCTAAACTATATGCCTGCCCACAATCACTGACCTCCACAAATTAAAATGATTCCATGGTATTATGCAATTTAGAAAAAAAATGTATATCAGGAAGCCATATGTACCAGGGAATGGAATAATGAATAAACATACTTTGAAAATTTACAAATACATGAGGAAAAACATTTTGCTTGACTGGGAATCAAACCCAGGACCTCTGCATTACAAATGCTTGTATACTAATGAGGTATTTTAACAACTAAGCTGCCCAGACTGCTCATGTATCTACAGTCCATATAGCAAAAATTACTTAGGATGTATCTGCAGCTACTTATGGCTGAATTTATTTTATGTACTTGTTTGTTTGTGCTTGTCTATATTGTGCCTTCACCAGGTAGCTATTTTGGTATCCTGCAATTAAATTCTTGTTTCAAAAATTTTATCTATTGTTTTTATGAATAATTTTTTTTTTATTATATGAGAATCAAACTAGCAGCTGGCTCTGACTTGTATTGAAAGTGTCAATATATATGCATGTATAACCTTTTTTTTTTAATGTAAAACTATTGAACTTTCTACCAAAAGAAAAAAATAAGATGATGAAAAAAGAAAAGGAAAAATTAAAATAAAAAAGTAGTATAATCTTTTACACTTGTGTTATGTAGTTTTTGTGTGTAGGATTGAGTATTTAATTTTTGGCATTCTGTTATATTTGTGGAAACACTAAAAATATATCCAAGGGCCTGAATTTACCTAATGCCGATATTACAGGAAGTTTTCGAAGGGCAAGGTCAAATTCCATTGGTGACGTAGTTTGATGCAGACAACAATTGTTGTTTTGCACCGAGATTCAAAATATAATATTGATTGTGGATTTATGTGTTTAAAGTGTTGAAAGTCTAACAAAAACAGGATATACTGTGCAGTTACGGACATCAATTGTTCACATAGAAGTAATACGATTCTTCTTTTGACCGTGTTTATAACAAACTATAGCTAGGGATCTAGGGAGTTGGATTTATGTGGAAGGCTAAGGAGTAAGGTAAAGCAGCAATTAATTTTAATAATCTTAATAATATGACTACGCTTATTGGAAGTTAGGACTCCACGTTTTGGCAATAAAAGCAGTCATGTCACTTGAGCTAAATTTGCAGTTGCCTCGATTGTTTTTAACATGATAATTACAATCTTAGGATATATGAATTGAGTCATACCTCTTTTCTTCATGCAGTGTATAGGCTAGCTGTTTTTAAGAATCTTTGATCCCTTCTGTGAAATTCTGTCTGGCCCTGGGTATGAAAGTTTCGTCGAAGACGTAATTTCTCCTATATATATACTTGGCAAGTTTCGGGCTTTATAGCTTTTTGGACGTCGATAAGCACAGAGGATTCCCGAACTTGGGTGACGTCATTGCCTCACTGACGGCAATGTACGGAAAATTACGAATAATGATGGATCCCCTTCCGAAGTGGCTGCCATTTTGACAATGTTAAATCCCCGTAGACTTTGAATTTACCGCCGTGTCAATACACTGGTTGACCTCGAGGGTTCGTATAAATGCAGGAAGTTTGGAAAAAAATCAATCTACCGATCAAACCTAGGTTGAAAGCCAAGGTATTTATATATTTTGAGATATCTTGCAAAAAGTAGTGACGTTCCGGTCGTGGGACAGACTATAATTCTGTCATTTCATTTTCAGATGCAACGCGGGGAACGTACCTACTGGTGGTGTTCCGTCCGCCCAAAGGTTGACAGATGCAGGGCAACCATCACACAGAAGGGGGACCTCTTCCAGCCTGGAGCAGCTGACCACAACCATGCACCCAAACCCAGCTTGAGGACTGCAGCAATTGTGAAACGTGATGTATGTTAAGTTAAAATTAATTTACAGATATTTAAAAAATATACAATAAACAATATATGATCTATATATTTAAAATTAATTTACAGATATTTAAAAAATATACAATAAACTATATATTATGGTGTCCGGATAGGGCCATTTGCAAAAGCTCAACAGCGCGTTCAGAAAAACACGCCGTCGCGCTAACACACAACACGCTGTCACGCTAACACAAGTTCGCACAACACGATGTCACGCTAACACACAACGCGCTGTCACGCTAACACAAGTTCGCACAACACGATGTCACGCTAACACACAACGCGCTGTCACGCTAACACAAGTTCGCACAACACGATGTCACGCTAACACACAACGCGCTGTCACGCTAACACAAGTTCGCACAACACGCCGTCGCGCTAACACACAACGCGCTGTCACGCTAACACAAGTTCGCACAACACGCCGTCGCGCTGTCACACAACTCGCTAACACAACTTTGCACTCACAGTCTACAGGGAAGTCGTGTACGGAAATGCGGACTGCGCATGCTGATTGAACTAATACACGTGTAATGGAGGGATATTCGTCTTTGACCATGTCAGAAAACCCAGAGGACATAACTCGTAAATATTACACTGTATTTAAATGCTATTTAATGTTTTTACAGAAGGTTTTTTTTTTAAATCAAATGAAAATTTAGAAATTATAAAGCTTAGAGACCGAATTTAATCATTACATTTACAAATTCATACGTGTAGTAAGTTAATATCTCTTGTCCAATTGTATGAACTTTTATTAATGAATTTTTAATTGAAATATATTTTACTGATGGCTTAATAGGAATTGAAAACAACCTATATATTATAAACTTTCTCCAGGGAGTGGAAATCTAACATATTATGAATATAGCGATATTACTATTATAGTAATTACAGAGTCGATCTGGTATTCAGGTGCTTGGGTCTTTGCTCATGAATATGTACAATAACTACATGAACTATGTACATTATGTAATAAATAAAAAGATATAAAGGTAGCGTACACATGAACAAAGACCCAAGCACCTGTGATTGTGTAATTTTGTGTAGAAGGGGAATTAAATGATAAATTAATTACCTTAGTTTAACTTTTACCATGCAGTAGTCAGTAGTTGCATTTATAATAATTTGTTCTTTTTCTTATTGATATTAAAGGAGAAGACCTCATTCGAGAATACTTTTATGGTGGATACACAAATCTGGAGATATGTGGTATCCTGCTCTTGCGACACAAAATAGTAATAAGGTACATGTAATATTTGAAAATTGAAATTGGTCTGCCAAGTAGTCAAAATCTAGGTAATGTGATTACTCAAGTGTACATTGTTACTTTACAGCCTGTCATATATTACACCTATTTATTTTGAATAGGAAACCTCTAGAACACTCTTATATTCTATTATGGGTATTTCTTTTTAAGAAGAGTTCACATAGATCTGCCCAGAACAGGGTGGATTCTAGTCAGCACCAGTTCGGAACTAGAAGAACTAGGAAAAAATTGAAATAAATCAACTTTTTAACAAAAAAGAAGGAAATTCTTTACCTGAGAAATCATTAATTGCATTACAATTTCCTGTTGCAAGTGACCGCACTTTAAGTAACTTTGTTTGGTGATCACTAACTAATCCAAACCATAAAAATGATCAATTGATTGTTGAAAAACAAAAATTTAAAGAAATTATCCCTAGATAAAATCACACAATGAAGTGCAAATGCATGTCTATTACATATAGCTGAAGTCATATGTCATTTAAACAAACTTCCTAGCTTTGATTTAGTAAATAATGTGAAGCTTGACACAAAATTTTTAACTGTATTGAGAGAAATCAATTACTTTACTAATATGTTGTAATTTGCCCCCCCCCCTTCCTAAAAAAAGAGAGAGAGAGGGAGAAAAGAAACATGAAAAAACCAAAACCCACAAGTCATATTAACTGACAGAATTACTGAATTTTAAGAAAATGTTAAATAATAGAATATTTCTGAAATTTTGTTTTATTGATCAGCACAATTTATATCCAAGGCAAACAAAATATCAATTTTTTATTGATTGAATTTTTACATCCAGTGTGAGACATCTGAAAAGGATAATGGCAATGATGGGACTTAAAAGACGGATGCTGCAAAACACTGTTGAGGCATCTTGTGTTATCATGGTAAGATTAAAATTATTAAAATAATTGGAAGTAGAGAATTAATCATTAATGGTTCCAAATATCCTCTTTACAAAAGTGAAAAATAAATTTGTCTGTAATCACTTTAAATTACTGACAAGAAATTGAATTGAACTTATTGAGTTGGCTCTTATATATACAGTTGTTAATTAATAGAAATTAATGCTTATTTTGTATTGAATAAAGTTGGAGCAAGGTCAGAGTTTATGGTCATGTTCTCAATTAATTCACACAAAAGTGCATATTATTTGAAATCAAATTAGTTGCTCTGTATTTTACCATATTATAAAGTTTCCAATATTTCAATACCCAATTTTTGAAAGAATAAATCTGATGATTTTTTAAATGAAAAATTCAATTTTCAGAGTAAATATAATGTACATGTAGTAAAGAGTGTAATTTAAAGTAATCCTATGGTAGTAATTGTAAAATGTAAATGTAATTGTGATATGCATGCATATATAGTTATATCCACACAAGTGACATTACTACTTCTCTCTAAGTATAATTATGATGAAATGAAAAAGAAGTATTCAAAAATAGAATTCTTTTAGGAAGAACTGCAGGGAAGTGGTTCTTCTCTTGGATGTCGTGGATTACAGCGTCGTCTTTTATCACATCATGGACTTGTGGTTTCAAGGTTAGTTTTTGTACAGCATGCTAAATAATAAGGGTGGAGGGCAAAGAAGAAAATGATGAAACATTGTAAGTTAAGTTATGCAACTTTTAAGCAATCATGAATACAATGATTAATTTGCTTAGTGTGCACTGGATGAAAAGTCCAGTTTCCGCAAAACTGAAACTATATGGAAACCTTGCTGAAACTTGACGTTGAAGTTTCCTGTATGGTTTCCGCAATGCGGAAACTATATAATAGTTTCAGTAAGTTTCTGTAGGGTTTCCGTATACTGAAACTATTAGATTTGTTTCCTAATGGTTTCCGCAAAATGGAAACCAGCGTGAAATTAAATTTAACGACAATGTAACAATACTTATTAGTTTCATGAGGTTTCAGGTTCCGGAAACTGTTAATTTCGATTCCTTATGGTTTCCGCAATGCTGAAACCAAACTGAAATTCTTTTCATCAATTTTTTTAAGAGAGTAGATAAATCAACTATCGTTACCTTTTTATTTATTAATGTATGTAAAGAAAATTTAGGTGTTTCTTTTCTTTTCTTTTTTTTTTTTACTAAATCTAATAATTCATATTCAGTTTACGACTTGTGTCCGCTCTGCGTATACTTATACATACTGGTATTGATATCAATTATAAGTACTGTTACTTGGTTTAATGGTTTAGATTTGATTTTCTTGTCTCAATTGAAAAATGGATATTTAGCAAATGAAAAAAAAATAATGGTATGCTTTTAAACGTAATCAATTCCTCTCGCGAGGATTTTCTACAGTTCCCTGCTCTCGACCCCCCCCCCCCCCCCCCCCGGGGAATTGATTCTTTTCATAGCATACATCATGTACACAAAAATTACGTTTGTGTCAAGGGTGATATATTTGGGGGGTATAATTCCCGGTTCCTCCATTTACAATAACAGATTTACAAAATTAAACGTGTTTAATAAATAGTTTGTCTTCATATTGCATGAAATACAGATAATTACCAGAGCCAACATGATCCGAGATAACAAGATGACTGCACTTAGAGTTATCAGACATGAAGTGATATACGTTTCCCCCTGCCGTCATCTTACTTCATCTTGCTGCATATGTTGAAATATTACTAATTATGTATTTCAAAAGTTCTCTCTTACACCGTCGATTATTATGTTTAATTTAGTTGTTTAGATACACGTGCACTTGTGTATTATCTAATAAACGTGTTTTAAAAAAAATAAGAACATATGTATAGTAATTCAGGAAACAAGAAAGCGCCATGTTAGCTAAAATAAATTCATAATTATAATTCTGATACCACCTGTCGAGAAATACACGCAACCTTAGGAACTTTGGAAGCTCTTACATACGTGTCATTGTATGATTATAATGACAAGTGTGCCATACTGATGTTGTTTACTTGTTTCTAATTTTCATTGATAATGAAATAATAAACGTGATAATGCTTCAGTATTTTAATCTGTTAACAGCACAACACTACTGACTACAGGAATCCATTTAACTTGATGTGTAAACTCTTTTTACTATATATTCAGTGTTCGACAGAACTATATAGCGCAATAATTAGATATTTTTATTATTACATTATGTTTAACATTATTTGTGTCTCTGTCCTCATGATCGAATACAATTTAACCGTAATTTAAAAGACGTTAATCTTATCCGTTCTCCCAAGGAATCACTCAAATTTATTTAACTTAGGAAGGCCACGGATTAATGCAAAGAAAATCTTACGAGAAAACATGTCCTGAAAATTTGATGTAAATGTTCCTTAGGATTTGCAGCATATTAATTTTTATCAAATTTGCCTACATGATTTTAAGGACAGATGATACAAACAAAAAAGGGATGCCTGGATTGGTATAATATTTTTGAGCCTATTTTTGTTGCAAATGATGCAAATAATAAATTTCTAAAATATTAAGAAATTGTAAACCTTCTATGATGTTCAAAATTCTACCTTTCTGCAACCATCCTTATTAATCTTTACAATTTTTTTCACTTCAAATCCCGTTATTGTGAAACTTTGAACGAAAAAATTAAAAACTACGCGGTAAAATTTGTTCATTTTACTCATAAAACATGACTCAAGTTGCTATTTTCATATTTATTTTTTGACAAAAGTTTGTTTGTATCGTCTGTCCTTAATGCAATTACTGTAAACGCGGTATAGCTTTTAGCAATGTGTTTAATTATGTTCGTATTGAGAAGCTTAATGTGCTGAGTATGTGATTTAAAATGTAGAAGTAAATTTCTTATAATACATGCATGCAGTGTGTAAGTTGATCATATTTTCAATTATTTACGTTGAACCTCACTCACGAGCACCTGTCTTCACGTGCCACATGCAGGTGAGAACACGTGTCGCAAAGACACCTGCTTCTGTGTTAGTGTATTTTTTGTATATTCTATGTGATTTGAGAGGTTTTTCTACCTAAGGGGAACAATGGACTGTGACCAAGCGTATATACATCAGTTGTATATGGTATACATACACCAGTAGCCTTTACTAGTGACACCAAGGTTACTGAATAGGCAAATTTAAAAAAAAAAATCTAGCACACACTAAATAAAACTTTACATAAAATCACACACATCAAAATGTTACAAAAAATATAATTTTTTATACAAAATGTTTCATACAAGCGTAAAATGTCGAGTAAGATTTTTTTAAGCGTAATTAATTGATTAATGTTGATTAAAAGAAAACAAAAACATCCAAACCGTTTAGATATTTTTCTATCAGTCTAGTATAAATCTACCGGGAATCGGAAAATATTTGTTTGTTCAATATACTATTTCAAAATTTAAAGATATTATTTTAAAAAAATGTATGAAAAGAAATCGGCAATCAGTGGTATTCCTTGTTTGCCACCATTTTAAACTTCAAATGTTGAAAATATAATGAGAATGTGAAAATACAGTCTAGCAGTGTTTATTTCACGACTTTTTTTATTTGGTATTTTATGAGAGTACACGATTTTCTATCTGTCAAATTTAGGGCACTCCGTTTCAACAACTACTATTATAATAATTACTTTACATCAGCAGGTTGTACATATGTATACCCCCCGCGATCCCATGATCAATTTGATATTATCATGCAGAAGTGCTAATTCTGTGATATTCAAGAGAACTTTTGCAGTAAAAACGTGAAAGCTTTCTTTAGGGGGAAAAAAAACAAACTGCAAAAATTATGTTGAATTTTCAATGTAAACAATGGACGGCCATTTTTGGTGAATCACTACCCAGGTAGCACAAAACGTTTTCATAACATTATATTCCGGTTGTAAGGACGTTATTAGAAAACGTTCTTAAGAAAACATTTTAAAAACGTTAGTATAACATTATAATCAGGTTGTAAGGACGTTTTGAGAAAACGTTCTAAGAAAACATTTATATAATGTTTTTCATAACATTTCATTCCAGTTACAAGGACGTTATCAGAAAACGTTTCTAACAAAACATTTTTACAGTGTTTTAGAATCATTTTGCCATCATTTAAATAACATTCATTTGTAAAAACATTTTGAAAAACGTTATTTTTAATTCCTATTTAAACATTTGTAATAACATTTTTAAAACGTTTTCATGTTTTTTAAAAACACATTTTAATTTTTTGAATATATATTTCTAATAGTTACACAAACTAAGTAACACTTTAAAAATCTTTTTTAAGAATTAAAAAAAAATATAAATTCCAAATTGAAAAATGAAATGTTACCAGACAACATTAATTTAACATTGTCTAAAATGTTATAAAAACATTTTTAAAACGTTATGGAAATAATTGCAGTTTCAATAACTATTTTTTTTTAATCAATTTTTTTTTTATTAATATGGTATATTTATCAAACTTTAAAAAAAAATGTTACATGATACATTGAATAATTTTACATGTAATTATGATAAAAAAAAATCTGAAAAAATATCTTTAATGCTGCTTATTAAAAGGTGACCTTACTATCAAATTAAATTTCAGTTTAAAATTAACATTTTAATAAAATATTTTATGCAACAAACAAAGAGTATGAAATGGTAATTCATCAATTTTGTTGGACAAAAGATATCGATGCAATCAGTTAATCTGGGGATTAAGTCTCCTCTCTAATGTGTTGATCGGGAGTTAATGGAAAAACACAGTGGGGTTCCATGGCTAGGGCTGAGGCAGCCCATCCCAGCTGCATACAGTTTCCACGTGACTTTATCTCTCTGTGGGTCAAACATTTTGAAATCTTGCAAGACAAAGGACAGTAGCTGAAATACTTCACTGAATGTGAGTATAGTTTTGTACTTAATATATCAATATTTCTTATTTCTTACCAAATATAAGCATGATTATAAATGTTAATTCTTTATAGCGGTTGTAGTTAGCTCCGTATAGTCGATCTAAATATATATATATATGTATGTCTTTAACAGGTAAAATCTTACAGATCATGAATTCTGGTACATTTACATGTACACTTATATATTGACAATATATATACATACATGTACATGTACTTATGTATTGTATGTGCAACTAGCATGTTAGATATAATACAGGATTATACATACTCAGTTTTTATCTATTCAAGACAACAATGGTCAAATACAGTAATAATAACTTTACCGGGAAAGTATAGTTTAATAATGTCAATAAACAATTCACTTTTAAGAATTATCATACAGAAAATCATAGGTTCTAGAATCATTCCAGTGATACTTTAAACACTGTGTTTGAACTATTGTCTGAAATATGAATTGTGTTGATTTGGGTGTATCTAAATGTATATAAATTAGATTATGCACTATATTTGATTTGACTTACAAACCGTGTGTGAAACTTTTATTCAACTTATATTTTTATTCAGCCTTAGACCGTCAGTTTAGATTAGATTGCGCATGCTCCAAGTTGTAAAAGATGTCGAAACAAATTAAGGGTACCTATTATGTACTAATATTCATAGGCATTCACTTTTGGATTTTTTTCATTTTGTTTTAGATTATATTACAGTGTTTCCAATTCATAGTAATCTATCAAATACAATAAGAAAACAGGAAGAAATGGTGTTTGATATTGTCTAAGCAATAAGCATTCTTTGGCTGAGACATAATTAAGGCAATGGCTAGTTCAAAATAAATGCACAGCAGGAATGCAAATTAACAGCTTTTCCTTGTTTACAACACCGCGTTACGTTATCGGAATCTTCATCATATTGATATATCTTAGTTTAACAAGTAGATGAAACTTTCTGCCTACATAAGCATGCTTAATATCACCGTCAGTTACAAATAACTTGGGTTTAAAAAACGAATTATGCCTCTGGTTTAATGATGTCGTGTAGGCTAAGTAATTTTCCCAATGCAGGACAGGGACGCAACCCCGGTATATACTATGTATATGTTGTACGTAAAATAATAATAATAAAGATACTTCATTTAAATAAGGTAGCCTGACTACTGCAGTGCACTATTCTTTCTCAGTGCCTTCTAATTACACAAATACGTATATATGTCTGAGGAAAGATTAAGTTTAAAAAAAAAACACCTGGTAAACATTGATATGTTCTTTTTCCTGTTTTTGTCACTAATTTGTTTTTAAACATACTTTACAAAATAATACCAAAATTTTACAGCACCTATTAAACTTCAAAAGCTGTAAGCTATTTATAATTGAAAATCGTAAAAAAAAAACCCAACAACAATTAAATAAAAAAAGAAAGATATGGATAACAAAAAATTATAAATCTGGCTTTTTAATATCTAAATTTGAAGTAAATCTGGATTCTATTGATCAGAAGTATTTGACGAATTAGAAAATTTTACTTTAGATACCGATCATGGACCCTGACAAAAAACAAAATAAAAGACGCCTATACAACAAGAAATGGATGTCTGAAAAGCGTCGAAAAATACTATTACAGAATCAGAAGGAACGGTCCGAATTAGAAACAGATTCCGAATCAGTTCAAAGCTCATATGTAAACCAAGATGGAATCTCTTCTGAAGATATGCGTGATGCACACAATGTACCTGAGTTGCTAAACTTTCAGACTGATTGTGGTAATGCACAATCTGAAGATAACAGCACTGACCATGCTAACAGATTAGATTTAAATTTTGCCGCATGTGTTACATCTACTGACGAAGAATCAGATAACAGTGATGGACAAAGTGAAGTGATAAACACACTCAGAGAATGGGTAAATGTGAACGAAGTTAACGCAAGCACAGTTGATGATCTTCTGAAAAGATTAAGAAAAACTGTAAATCCAAACCTTCCAGCTTCTTCGCGCACGCTTCTTAATACACCAAGGCACATTGATCTAAGGAGAGTTTCAGAAATGGATTATTTTCACTTTGGAATTGAAATAATGATTTTTAATACATTAAAGAAATACACTCAAACGAACATTGAGGCGCTAAATAATAAATTAATCCTATCTCTGAACATCGATGGACTTCCTTAGTTCAAAAGCAGCAAAACAACAGTATGGCCAATACTAGGACTCATTTGCAATTTAAAACCTCCAAAAGCGTTCCCTATAACATTGACTGTTGGCACTTCAAAACCATCGAACCTAGAATTCTTGAATGAAACAATTATTGACCTAAATAATTTAATAAACAATGGAATTAACATCAATGAAGAACATTTTGAAATCAAAGTCCTGTGCATAATTTGTGATGCACCAGCAAAATCATTTGTCAAGTGTGTCAAACAATATTCTGGGTATTATGGATGTGACAAATGCGAGCAACGTGGGCAATATATAGGAAGGATGACCTACCCAGTCATAGATAATCTTGTTTTCAGAACAAATACATCATTCCGGAACCAAACACAAGAAGAACATCATAAACAAGATGTTCGATCTCCATTTCTTGACCTTCCAATAGATATGGTACAAGACTTTCCTGTGGATTACATGCATCAGGTGTGCCTTGGTGTAATGAAAAAGCTTCTGTTAACTTGGATGCGGGGCCCGAGAGCGAATAATCGACTGTCCATTGGTCAGATTTCTCAGATAAGTACTAAACTTGTGTCTTTTGCACATTATATACCTAAAGAATTTGCAAGAAAGCCAAGAAGTCTTGAGGAAGTTGATAGATGGAAAGCTACCGAGTTTCGCCAGTTCCTTCTATATACAGGACAATTTGCTTTAAAAGGCGTGTTGCCACAAAACTTGTACAAACATTTTATGTGTCTTTGCGTGGCAATAACTATCCTTTTGAATGAAGACCTTGTTTTGCATTATTCAAATTATGCACATCGCTTACTGTGTTACTTTGTACGGAATTGTCGCAGGTTGTATGGAGAGGAGTTTTATGTCTATAATATACACAATCTCTTGCATTTACAAACAGAGGCTGATGCATTTGGCTCATTAGAAAATTGTGCAGCATGGCCTTTCGAAAATTATATGCAGCAGTTGAAGCGTAAAGTTCGAGGAGGGAACAATCCAGCAGCTCAGTTAGTTAAAAGGATATTTGAGTCTATGGAAACCGATGTCATACCGGAACAGGCGAAAGTTAGAAAAATAATGTATAAAAGACCAAACAATGTTTACAGAACTGATAGGAAGAAATACTGTGAGGTAATCCGGCCTCTCAACAGGGACAGACAGGCTTTTCTCTGCAGAGTATACTATTCGTCAGAATGTTCCTTCACTTATCCATGTGACTCTTACATCATTGGTCACGCACAATTCTCTCATCAAAGTTACACTATAAAAACAATTGAAGCTGATAAACTAACAACAAGGTGTCTGAAAATACCTTCTCACCATGACAACAAATTTGTTTTTATTCCACTACAACACAACTTCCAAATGTAACATTTATCACCAGTGAAACAAGAGCTTTGCTTCAAGTTTAAACATGGTATGTTTTTAGAAATGTAAAACTGAAATTAAACCTTAAAACTTTAGGACTACTGCTTAGTTTAAAATATTTAAATTAAAATATGGATAAGTAAAAATAAATGCTGCCATGTTATATCTGGATGAATGAACTTTAACAGTTACTCACTCAAAATAACTTTTACTAAAATCAAATGTAATATAACATCTATAAACAATTTAACATATGCCATACCTATTACTTACAGTACATTAATTGATAATTCTTGCATTTTGCTAAAATAATCAAAGATTACCATGATTACTGCATATGATTATCTACTCTAATACTTTCAGAAATATTTATTTAGAATATTTTTTTCAAACTTTAGGCTCTCTTAAATGAATCATGTATGCAGTTGTACATTTTGTGGATGATGAAAGCGTAGAATGTGTCCCAAAGTCATGGCTGGAAGGGGTAAGTATAAAAAATTAACTCTTTGAAAGCATGAATATTTACCTAGTTTTTGTAACATGATTAAAAAATCAAAAGTTACATTTACTTTATTATCCATGAACAGAATATGTCTCGAATTATAAGTACCGGTAACTGGAAATAATTACTCGGTAATCATTTACAACTGAACATTATCTGCATATATCAAACCGATTTTGTTATTTACTCAAGACTTTTACCATTTTTATCTTATTTCTTTTATTTGAAGCAATACTGCTATTGGCCATCCTCTAATGCAAAGAGAAAAATACAGAAAATGTCCCTGCCAGACAAAGACAACTGGCAAAAATATAGATATAGGAAAATTGGTCAAGGTGGGGTTTTTGGTTGCATTGTAAAATTCAATAATTTTTGAGACATGACAAGCACGAGACAGTCTTTTATGACATAATAAATATATTTTTATAAAAATTTTTTGAAATCAATAAACAGATTATGAGGACTATGAAACAGCCAGAAAGAACCTGAAAAAAGCAGAGGAAACATCAAACCTGGAAAGTGAGGAGGATTCGCGGAAGAGGAAGCAACCATGAAGATTAATAAGCGAGTCAGAAAGTGGAACAGATATTGAAAGTGACATAGAAGGTAATTATTAACATTTGATCAAGGACCATAGAAGCAATTTCAGTCTGAGGGACACTTTCCAACAGAAATTCCCTCAAAACCAAGAAAAAGTCAGATTTTATTAAGGAAGATGAGGAACCGGGGGGGGGGGGGGCACAACTGTAAATAAACGCTTTGTTTTTTTTATTGTATTTTATGTATTTTTAAAATCATTGGAGAGGCACAGTCCCCCATTACCATCTCACCCCGATTCCTACAGGCTTGTAGTCAGTGTCAGGTTTAGCTCAACCTATTGTATTTATTACATACTACATGTAATACTATCATATGATACACAATAATTGTTTGCTTAAAGAATATTTTTGTCTTGTTAACAAAGGTAGAATGCCGTCTCCCCCAAAGACGAAATTTTCACAGAGAGAGAATCATAAAAGACATATAACACCTGTGAAGAAAGCATCAATAACATCATTACAAGATAGTTCACCACTCTCTCCATCACCACCACCACCATCTTTGCCAGCTAGGAAACATGACCTAGCCACAACTTCAGTAAAGAGACAGTTGCTAAGTACAAGTACAGCAGTTCGTAGGTCTCCAAGGTCAAAAACAGGAGTTTCAAGCTTCAGCACTGAGAAATCTCCACTGAGAGTTACAAGTACTCCATCAGCATCTTCAGCTGGAGGTGCTATGTCATCTTCATCTATAAGTACTTCTTCATTTTCTCACCAAATACTTGGTATGCTATTAAATTATTTGAAGGTATATTGGATAATTTGAATTATTTGATTAATTTAAGTTTCATTTATTTTTCTTTAATTTAATCAACTTATTTTAAAACTGAATTTCTGTTATCAGCAACTAGTGATACTGGAACATCTGCGACAAAGAAATCGGGAGGAAACATTTCTGAGTTAATCAATCAAGGTGTGTAAATTTAGTCCTGATTGTATAATGACTTTATTTTCAATCTATAAAAATTAAACAGTTCTTTCTTTGTAAGATTTAGCGTCTTGAATTAAACATATATATATATAACATACATCTTAATTTTTTCATTTTTAATTTTATTTTCTAGATGATAAAATTAAGCAGCTTATTTCATTCCAAATTTCAGTTATTTCCAAGATAGATATTCTACAGAAGGACATATCTGCCATCAAAAGTCATTTAGTGTCTTCTGTGGATGTTGATTTTGACACCATTGAAAGCTTGCTACCATCAGGAAGTAAGCTTAATTCTGTCAGAGAGGTAGAAGACTTTCAGGAAACATTAGATGACAGTTCTAAGAGGAAACTGGTAAGGAGTAAAATGTACATTTTGCATTTGTTTTTGTAGAACATGTTGATTAAAGCAATTGTTAAGTAAATTATCATTTACATGTATTATATCAAGATAAGTGTAGGTAATATTTCATTTAAATCCATGTACTCCATGCGTATATATATTCATAGCATTTACAAATGTTTTAGATAAATGCATTGTTTTAGATAAATTGCAAGGTGGAGATAATGCCGGGGAAATATGCAGGGCAATAATGCGGTCTGTGATGACAAACAACTGCATGAGCCAGTATAGTGGGACCGGACAGAAAGGGAAAATTGCCTTCATCGGCACACTCCTGTACAAAATCATCCTTTGTAAGTTTAACACATAAACAAAACAATGCTACAAGATTGGGATCATACATACACCAAAATATCAATAAAATGTTAAAAAAAGAGAAAATAATAATAAGAAATTCATAAATATGTTGAGCTATAAATGTTGTGATAGTAAAATTAAATTGTCTTAAGTACATATACTAATTTACATTTCTTACAATGTATATCATTTTACATTTTAAAAGCTGCTGCTCGCAAAGCATCAAAAAAGACAATCCAATTTGAGACGATCAAAAGAGAGGTTTTAGATGTCTTACGGTTTGCGCCTTACCTTCCAGGAGGCAGTAATTATTCTAAAGTATGTATCAAGTCTGCTGATCAATCTGATACTTTGTTTCTTAGTGTATACGTAACTGCATGTATACCAAATATGTATTAATGAAAAAAGATCATAATTAATATAATTTTCCGATGTCCCAATGTATTGATATGTTAAACTAAAAATAAACAATATAAATAAGAAAACATAATTGTAAAGTTAAGATGCATGTCCAAATATTTGTTTTTCAGAGGAAAGGAAAGAAGTCAAAAAGTCCCAGTGTAGAGGAGTTCCCTACAGACTCCGAATAAAGTTACCAACTATTTTCATATTTCAGATTAAGTAAACGTTTACTAGTTACAAGTAGAAAGACTTTTTATTTTATTAACAGTGTAGGTGTTTAAAAAAAAAATTTTTTTGTGTTCTATTAAGGAAAGGTTCCTTCTTAAAAAAATATTAAAATTGAACAGAACATTGTGAAGTAAAAAAAAATTGACTTTTTAACATTTAATAAAATTGTTTGCAGAAAATTGTTTGTTAAGTTCTTAAATATCAAATGTTTTTTTTAAAATGTTTTCCAAACGTTTTTACAAAATGTTTGCAAAACGTTCCTTTTAAATGTTTGCAAAACGTTTTTAAAAATGTTTTTAAAACATTGCATTACAATGTTTTTGAAAAATGTTATGATAACGTTTAAAAAACCACACAAAATAACGTTGTAACAACGTTTTCGAAAATGTTTTCATAACATTTTCACAACGTTTTCATAACGTTATAATAACGTTGTTGTGCTAACTGGGTAGGTGGCGTATCGCGCCAGTATGCTTCTCGCTCATTGGATAGATTCTCAGTAGAAGAAAGAAGGACAAAATGGCGAAAGAAATACCAAGAATTTGCTCAAGAAAAAAATATCTAGATGAGAAGACCCTTTGATTCTACATAGACGAAAAGCATACCAAATGACAGATTGGATACAGGTAGCTATTTCCTATAGTACAATGACCTTCATTTTTGAGTTTATTATCTGAAATTGTAAAAATAATGTTGGGCTGAAATGGCGCGTTTCAAAAATTCAAAATGGCCATAGTACAGTTTTCATAATTGTGAAAAAAATTACTGGTAAATCATTCTCAGTTTAGGTAGTAATATATAATTTATCGTTGATAGAAAGTCTGCGTTCAGTTTGTACCATTGTATTTATCTTTCATGTATTTCGTATGATAAATAGAATATGCTATTGTATTCTTTTACATCATGTAAATTTTCTTTACAACGTCATGAAAATTTTCTTTACAACGTGTCGTAGTATTCCGGAGTTTTAAATGCAGGTTGGTTTTTAGACTGTAATAGCGTTCTGTACGTATATCCGGTGTTAACTTTTTCATTCGGAAAGGCTAAGGGTCAGACCCCACGCTTATTTTTTTCAGAAAAGGTGAGCTATAGTGTTTATTATGGGAATACCTAATTGAAGACCTACAAGTAATTGAAGACCTACGGAAGACCTAGGGAAGACCTACAAAAATATGGGCTATATACAGCAAAACTGATGTGATATTCTTATTAATCATGTCTTAAATATATAAAGTACACAAAAAAGTTTTATAAAAAGAAGTTTTAAAGTGTATTTTTAAAGCTCGATATGGGGAACTATTTCTTCTCTCAGACGACCTACCGCAAGAACGATAACTCGCGTTAATAACAAATCAGCTGTTCACCAAAACACATCAGAAAAATGTAAATAAATCAATAGTTAATTGAAGAAAAACAGAAGCATTGAAGATATTTTGAAATAATTAAATCAAAGATGAAATAATAAAAGGGAATATTCAATTAGATATTATTTTACTTCGTAAAAAAAAAAAAAAATAAAAATAAAAATCTTAACCAAAGCAGAGACATATATGTATTATATAATACCATAATTTAATCAATCATAAAATATGTGTATATTTTTTTAATGAATTATTAAATTGTTATAAGAAGTTTCCATGATTCCTATGCATGGACTCTTTTTTTTTTTTTTTTTTTTTTAACCGAATTCCTTTCTTTCTTTTTAAAAATTTTAATTTATTTTCAAAATTATTTTCATCGGTATATCAATGTACAAATTAAATATGATAATAAATAATGTGTTATATACACATAAATAAATATGTTTATGCTTTGACAGAGTGTTAAAACTAAGTTTAAAAAATCGGAAGTATTTTTTCTTAAAGATCAGAGCCACAATCACTTACAAAATCTTCTTACATTCACTGAGCCTGAACAGCAAAAAAAGATTTCTTTTCTCAAAATATGCATGCATTTCATTTAAGTGATTACATGTTACTTATTTAATTTATAAAAAGAATTTGTGTACTTTGTATGTAAATAACAGACAGAATATATTAAACTATTTCTTGTTGCTATCCATAAATTCATTGATTAATTCTGTAGATTTTAAATTGTCGTGTTAATTTATATTTCATGGAATTCCACTTGAAAAGTCTTATTATATTCATATTTCTGAATCTGTTAATATTTATTTTCAGTTTATGACATATTATATTGATCTTATTTTAAGGAGAGGTCAAACAGTGTAAGTTATTTATTTAATCAAAATATGTTCAAGAATGATATACAGTATATTTTGGCTCTACGTGTTTAAAAAGTATTCCTTATTTAATGTTATTCTTAATGTTTTAAGTAGTATTTCTGGGAGTACATGACGGGTTATTCTAACATACATTTTTTTTTTATTGTTTTTGCCACTGTAATATAAATATGTTTTTGATTAAGAGAAAAAAGTGACCATTTTGGAATTTTTTTTTCAAAATGCTATCATTTTAGTCACATGTAAAACTCATTGAGTTTTTTTATTTGCTTCACTTAATAGGTTTAAAAAGTTATTTTATATTAAGAAATCTTAATTATTCTTTCATGAAGCACAGACAATGAGTGTCTCTGTAAGAATTAAGATAATATAATTAAAAGATTTTTAAAAATATATATCTGGTTTGTTGACTGTAAATTAACTTCATCAGAGCAAGTGGGGTATGTTGATAATTGCAATCAAAACATGGAAATATCCTCAGGGTGTGTATATAACACATTAGTGGTGAAGCCTTTAGGTCAGAGTGATATCTTACCTTACATGGTTTAAGACAAATCCACAGTATACATTTCAATATTTTAGATTAAAATATTTAATATTTATCCCATAAAACATATTACATGTTTGAAGAATTGCAATAAACTATAATTAAATATTGACTATAGATAATATTGAAAGTATACATCTAATGTGAAATATTAATTTATATATATCAATCTCATCAAAATTCATATTCCAGCTTATATCTTTATTATAAAAATGATTGAAAAACTCAACAAATATCATTTGAATTTTTTTATTTGTGTATTCTCATTTTCCCTGTTCACTTCACCATAATATACATGTTGTTGTTTACAAGTTAACCAGAGTTACCGTTCTTGCGATAGGTCGTCTGAGAGAAGAAATAGTTCCCCATACCGAGCTTGAAAAATACACTTTAAAACCTCTTTTTATAAATTTTTTTTGTGTATTTTATATATTTAAGACATTTTTAATCAGAATATCACATCAGTTTTGCTGTATATAGCCCATATTTTTGTAGGTCTTCCCTAGGTCTTCCGTAGGTCTTCAATTACCTGTAGGTCTTCAATTAGGCAGGCCGGTTTATTATACCTAATTGTATTCATTATAATTCATAGAAATGGGTTTCTGAACCCAACGTTTATTTTTGCTGAATTGTGTCATAATTATTGGTAGTAGACTGTGCTGCATTCCGGAGGAAGGGGGGTCATTTTTTTAAACATAGAAATGGTAAATATTAGATCATGTTGGGATAATACCTTCACTGTATCATGTAGTATTGTGTCTCTGTGTAACTGTGTTATGCCTATTTGTAGTTATCAAAGTAACATTTCTGAGAACCTGCAGACTTTGGGCTTAAGTTTCCTATTATCAGATTATCAACACAAAACTGAGTTGATTATAATATGAAAGTGACTTGATAATTTTCAGAAGCCTCATAATGTTCAAGTTGAAGTATTTTACTAAAGTTTCGAAAGCTATGATCATATATAAAACACATGTTGAAAGTGCACAATATACATAAGCATCTTGTCTTACAAGGTATATGATTATAAGAAAATATTTTAAGAATCAAACTTAAAATGATATTTATTTAGATCAAGTGTAATTTTAAACTGACACATAAGACATATGCATGTTTTGATCTTCTATGAAACAATTAGACTTGATTTTGTGACATAAAACTTGATTTTGTAATTGTTCATCATAAATACCATGTTTTTATTTTCACTAGAACTGTTTAAATGTGGTTCAGTTGCTTAATATATCATAAATCACTGTAGAGTCACAACCATCTAAAACAATGTCAGAACAGTATTATCGGGTAATATGAATTCTGCATTCAATAAATAGAGTATGTGGTCTGATGTAATTGCCATTTTCAAATTCTATAGGTAGTGATCCATAATATTTGTTTGTTTGTTATATAACATCCCTTGACTCCATTTCGATAATTTTTCATTCATGCCACCAACACAGTCTCATCTGAAGGACAAGACTCCATGTACCACAGTGGATTCAGAGCAGTCGCTCTGACCACTGGGCCACATTGGCCATATGACCAATTATGAAAATTTGACATAATACTTCTATGATCTTTTTTTTTTTTTTGGACTTGATAGAATGACTGATACGGAATTAGATTTTTGTATTCTATATGTTTTTAACTGTTTACCATTTGTTATTTCTATTACTAAGTCAGCTCTAAACAATGGCCACTAGAGACTCCTAATTCTGACTAATTATACAGATAGAGTGATCTGCCCTTGATGTAAAATGCAATAAAAGAAAATTAAGTAAGTGTCCTTATCCTGTAGATTATAATCTTGAATCTGGAAAGGCGTACATATCTTCAACAAACTTATACATGTATGTAGTCTTGCTTTTATGGAAAAGTATAATTTATTTAATTTTTCCCACTCTCAGAGTATGAATGCATATCTCTCAGATGTATCAGGTTCCTTGACTTAAAAAATAAATAAATATTAATTAAATCCAATTGTAAAAAATGATTAAATTACAGCCACTAACCAAAGAGTTAGGGGTCTTACATAATTTATAATTAATATATTTTAATATTACAAGATTTCCATGTCTATTTTATACTACAGTTTGCTATTTTATTCATTCTAGCATCTCAATAATACAAAATATACTTAAAAGTTAAGCAGATGGCTTGTATATATGTCTTGAACATAGTTATCTAGTCTTTGAAGTCTTTGAAGTCAATTTAGTTAATCCCCTGTGCAATTATCTTTTTTTACCCTGAAGACAGTATAGGTGTCACAGTAATTAAGGACATACGCAAAGTAGTTTGAACTTTATTGTCTTTTTCCTTGGAGTTGAAGAGTTCCACTACTTAAAGGAACTGCGTGCTACATTTTAATGTCTATATATGCTGTTGTACACTTCTTTTAAAACAAGTTTGTATAAACAAAACATCTAGAATATATGTTTAGTAATTTTTGTAAAATTTTCTTTGAATTATACAAGATTTTTCATCAATTGATATCTTTTCAAAACCCCTGGTTATGCATACTGATTTTTTGTCTACGTACAACTGATAGCACTATAATCATAAATTAAGAATATCTTGAA